AGGTCGCTGTTATCCTCATCCACGTTCAGCCTTTCTCTCCCACGCCTCGCTCCCTCCTCGGGTTGGTCAGCAACCTCTGCAGGCCCTGGCGTTTGGAAGAGCTGGGTGGCCCCGCCGTATTGTCCCTTCCAGCCTTTCTCTTCTGTAACCAGTGGGGTAAGTTAAGCCAGGACCTTCACTGCAAACCTGGCTTCATTGCTCCTTCGGTCTCCAACCTCCAGTTATCTAGCCAGAAGGTCCCCGGAGTTAGTTCTAGGGAAAAAGAAATGTCTGCTTAGATCTCGAAGTCCTTGAGTTTTAGCGTCTGTTAGTAAAAATGGCACATTGATTCCCATTTGGGATGAGCCCTCTCAGGAATCCTGTGGGGAAGGGGTGATTGTAGGGAAGGACTCAGGCCATCCTAGGTCCCCAGTTCTAATTTCGTCTATCCAACAAACTGTCACCATCTTTGAACCAAACTGTCACGATCTTTGCAGCAGAAGGTCACTACTCTCATTGTAGTAAAAGGGGAAAAAAATCTTTTAAAACTCAGCTGTTAATGTCTGCCCTGTGCATTTAGACGCACTATATTAGACCAGACCACCATGTGCCATTTGTGTGTGTATGTGTGCGCGTGTGTGTATAGGAGAGGGCAGGGTCCTTGAGACAGTGGTTTCCAAACTGTATCCTAGACGTCCACAAAGATGTAATAGGAATCTGTTTTTTTATGTGTTTAAAAAAACTGTGAAAAGTGACTACTCAGATATATTGGAAACCAAACGAGTTCCATTGAAGACTATCAGACTATTTATATTGTGTCTACAGGCTTTCTTTTTAGGTATATACAAAACATTCATCAATACTGACCTCATTCTGGGCTATATAAAAGAGCTCAACAAATTTATAATACTAGAAATCATCCAAATAATGTGCTTAGAATATAAAATAAATAAATTAAAAGTCAATAAAAGGAAGATATAGTTTTATGACTGTAGCTTTGTACTATAATTTTAATGCAGTAAGTGCGATGCCTACAACTTGTTAATTCTTTTTTAGAATTGGTTTGGCTCTTTTGGGTCTTTTGTGTTGCCTACAAATTTTAGTATTGCTTATTCTATTTCTGTGAAAAATGTCATTGGAATCTTGATAGGAGATTGTGTTGAACCTGTATATTAATTTGAGTTTATGGATATTTTAACAATATAAGTTATTTTGATACATGAACATGGAATATCTTTTTCATTTATTCCATCCTCTTCATTTCTATCATAGATGTTTTACAGTTTTCAGCGTATAGGTCTTTTATTTCCTTAACTAAATTTATTCCTTAAATATTTTACTTTTGGATGCTATCATAAATAGGATTGTTTTCTTCATTTCTTTTTTAGCTATGTTGTTATTTCTGTATAGAAATACCGTGATTGCATATTGATTTTTTTTTTATCTTACAACTTTACTGAATTAATTAGTTTCAACAGTCCTTTTTGTGGAGGTTTTGTGTTTTCTACATATAGTATCATGTCATCTGTAAATAGAGATAATTGTACTTTTTTCTAATGTAAATGCCATTTGTGTATGTATGTAACTATGTCTGATTGCTCTTAATCGTATTTCTAGTACTATGTTGGGTAGACGTGGTGAAAGTGGATATTCTTGGCTTGTATCAAATCTTAGGTTAAAAGTTTTCAGTTTCTCACCATTAATTATGATGTTACCTATGGGTTTTTCATAAATGATGTTTATGTGTTGAGAAACTTTCCTTCTATATCTAAACTCTTAAGAGCTTTTATTAAGGAAAGATGTTGAACTTTGCCAAATTTTTTTATGTTAATTTGGATGGTTATGTGTTTTTGTCTTTCAGTTAGTTATGTATTACCTTAATTGCTCTGCATGTGTTAAGCCTGATTACACATGCAAATCCATGTGTTATTACTACATCATGATGTATAATCTTTTTGATATGCTGTTAAATTCACTTTGCAAGCTATAGTAATCAGAACAGTATGACACAGTCATTAAAACAGATAGAACTGTGGAACAGCATGGAGAGCCCCATAATAAATCCAAATAAATCTGATATGGTGAACTAAGTTTTGATAAGCACACCAAGAAGTAATAGGGAAATTAAAGTCAGTTCAATAAATACTACTAGAAAAACTGAAGTCCCACATGCAGAAGAATAAAATGTGTACAATAGATTGCACAGAAAATCTACTCAAAATGGACAAAGATCTAAATGGAAGACCTGAAACCATAAAACTCCTAGAAAAAAACATGGGAAGAAATCTTCCTGACATTGGTCTTGGTAGTGATTTCTTAGCTATTACACCAAAAGCTTAGGCTACAGAAGCAAAAATAAATGGGACTAAATTAAACTAATAATTGTTTCCATGACAAAGAAGATGATGTTTAGATTAGATAGACACTGTCTGTTTAAATTAATAAAATGAAAAGGCAACCTAAAGATCTGGAAAAAAATTGCAAACAATATATCTCATAAGCATTTATCAATCAAAATTTACAAAGAACTCATAAAACTCCAAAATAAAAATATATACTATTATATATAAAACAAATTATTTTGCTGGCTAATTTCTTAGTTTTGATAATTGTCCTACATAATGTAAGATTAATGCTCAGAAGTAAAAACTGGGTAAAAGGTGGATGGGACTGCATATTACTTTTGAAACTCTTCACTAAGTCTATAACTGCTTTAAAAGTATTTAAATTTTTTAGCTTTTAAAGTTTTGTAAGATTACATTGATAAAATGTTCTGAATTGAATGCAAAAGTCAATGAGATAGAAAATATTATACAAAATGATCAGTGTAAAGTTCAATCCAAGTAGGTCCAACTATTAAAGTGAAAACATCCAGTGGAAGGAAAAAATATGAAGAAAATATTAGAAATAAATAATTCAGAAAAAATACATGTCATTAGGTTAAATGTGTTGACTAAATGCCTCACAGAAAACACGTAGAAATTTCCACACCTTTTTTTTTCTGCATTTCATTACTTATTTAGATGTTTAAGCTCTCACAGTACATTCTTACAAGTTAGTAAACACTGACGAATTATTTCTCCCACAGAAATATAAAACATATCCCCAGACAGTATAAATATATAGTTGAACTAATACTAATACCTATTTGTCAATTACATAATAAAATAAATTATCAAGTATCCAAATATTAAATTACACAGCTCAACATATAAAATATTAGATGTTTGCTCAATTTATTAGCAGAAACGCACTTCTTTTTTTTTTTTTTGCATGAGAGGTCAAGAAGAGAAGGGAAAAAAATCACAGTTCAAACAAAAATAAGTTGATAAACAATTTCTGGTAAGTATGGAAAAATATACAAAAATTTCAGAAATTTTGTGAATAAGGATTTTTTCAGCTACAATAACAAAGCATCTCTAAAACATTTTTAAATCTTTAAAAATATTTACTAACTTAAAGAGCATATTATACATGTTCTGAACAAGAAAAAGGCAATACTTTGCTAAAAATAACTGATAGCCCCTTCCCATTCTTTTCTTAGGCCTTCCCTGTTAAGTTGTATCTCAGAGTGCAAACATCAAATTAACTGTAAGGCTGTTTTATCTGAAGATATTAAAGACATGTGTTTCTGTATATTATAGGTTTTTACTTAACAGCACAAAGTATGATTTATAGAAACATGCTAAATAATCACTGTTAGACTTGGTTAAAAAAAATCAGTGGTTAAGCAAACCTGATGTGGGAGATGTAAACATAAGTGAGAAAGCAAATAACGATATAGGTCCTACTTTCAATGTTTGAAAAGATTGAAGTAATAAACCACATAAGACCTAGAGTGTTCATAGTTCCTGGGATTTTAGTTCTGCACAGTACTAAAACTATACAAGTATTATACTGGGAATTTTGGCAACTGATCTTCTTAAATTTCTTATATATTATATATTTATAATTTAATATATATATTACATTTCTTACATATTGATAAAATTCTGGTATGGGAATAGGTTTAAACAAGACATAACTCAACAACTCATGATTTCAGGAAAGATCAGTTGGTATAAATGACAAGCACGTTTTAAATACTGACAGCTAGAAATCTTTTGCCAAGTGACTAACTAGGTTGACAGTAACCCAAACACAGAGGTTGTCAAATATGTCTATCTTGTGGCCTGGTAAAACTGCCTTTCAATACTCCTATGGAAGATTCATTACACTTACTCACTAAGCCAACATGTTGGCTAATATATATAACAAATTAGTTCATCTGAAGTTCCACTTCCAAGGTAATAGCATCAAGCACCCCAATTTTATTGAATGTAACAGTTGTTTCTGTTACCTTTGGAGTCTTTGAAGAGCAACTGCATGTTAGGCTGATACTTCAACTGCAAAAGTTTCTTGTTGTTAAATGCTTCATGCTGGTTTTGTCTTAAAAATTGTACTGCCTCTTCATATTTCATACGACATTATCAAATTGATTTTGTTCTCAGTTTTCTTGACTCTGCCTTGAATTTTAATTTGTTAATCTGTGCAATTGGGAAAGATGTTGAATTTTAAGCAAATAATTTAAAAATTACCAAATTTGACATGTTTCTTTTCATTTATTTTATAATGTTGGTAAAATATCACAATTAACATTATAGCTTATCATTATAAATTTATTTTGGTTATGATAGCTAGGTTAAAAACAAAATAATTAGAGAAATATTTTTAATCCAGTAGCCTAATTATCATTGTGAAGAATTACAAGAGTTTGTCCCAGAATATGTTCAGATTTTATGGATACATCTCATCTAGTCTTTTTTATATCCCTATATATAGTTTCCTATATTTATATACCACTATTCACATGTTCTACAGCCATTTTTGTCAATATTATTTTAAAACAAGATTAGAGCTCTGAGTTAAAATAAGTGGCATATTTAATAGAAATAATATACTTTCCACAGAAAATCATCCTAAGAAAAATTGAATTAAATCTATTTATAAAATATGTTAAAATTTTATGAAACAATATGAGAAAAAAAATTTTATTTGTAACGCTTCACAAATTTGCTTGTTATCCTTGCACAGGGGCCATGCTAATCTCTGCATTGTTCCTATTTTAGTCTACGTGCTGGCAAAGTGAGCACAAGAAAATATTTATAAAAAAGAAATAATTCAAACCAGTACACCACAGAATTAACTCAAAATTCCTATCACTCAAACCTGGTTTCTGTATCACTCTTCTCATTTAACAACATTTAAGCCTTTCTAGAATTTTCATATTTCATTCTACCTTCAATTAATGCTAAGCAACAATACAGAAGATCCTTCAAGGTCTGCAACACAATGAACTTCAATACAACAACCGGGTTCTTCAAGAAACATAATTTTTACAATACTTAACCAATCATCAACAATCTAGTTGGATGGTGTTGCACCATCATCAACCCCTTCCTGACACCTTACACTAAAATTAACTCCAGATGGATTAAAGACTTAAACATAAGACCTAACAACGTAAAAACCCTAGAAGAAAACCCAGGCAAAACCATTCAGGACATAAGCATAGGCAAAGACTTCATGACTAAAACACCAAAAGCATTGGCAATAAAAGTGAAAATAGACAAATGGGACCTAAATAAACTCCAAAGCTTTTGAACAGCAAAAAAACAAAACAAAACAAAACAAAAAAAAAACAAAAAAACAAAAAAACAAACAGGGCCTGGCGCGGTGGCTCAAGCCTGTAATCCTAGCACTTTGAGAGGCCAAGGCGGGTGGATCATGAGGTCAACAGATCGAGACCATTCTGGTCAACATGGTGAAATACAAAAATACAAAAATACAAAAAATTAGCTGGGCATGGTGGCACGTGCCTGTAATCCCAGCTACTCTGGAGGCTGAGGCAGGAGAATTGCCTTAACCCAGGAGGCGAAGGTTGCGGTGAGCCGAGATCGCGCCATTGCACTCCAGCCTGGGTAACAAGAGCGAAACTCCGTCTTAAAAACAACAACAACAACAAAAAAAAATCATTAGAATGAATCGGCAACAAATAGAATGGGAAAATTTTTTTGCAATCTACCCATCTGACAAAGGGCTAATATTCAGAATCTACAAATAACTAAAACAGATTTACAAGAAAAAAAAAAAGCCTATTCAAAACTGGGCAAAGGATATGAACAGACACTTTACAAAAGAAGACCTATATGAGTCCAAGAAACATATGAAAAATGCTCATCATCACTGGTTATTAGAGAAATGCAAATCGAAACTACATTGAGATACCATCTCATACCAGTTAGAATGGTGATCATTTAAAAATCTGGAGACAACAGATGCTGGAGAGGATGTGGAAAAATAGGAACACTTTTACACTGTTGGGAGTGTTAATTAGTTCAACCATTGTGGAAGACAGTGTGGTGGTTCCTCAAGGACCTAGAAATAGAAATTCCATTTGACCCAGCAATCCCGTTACTGGGTATATATCCAAAGGATTATAAATCATTCTACTATAAGGACACGTGTACACGAATGTTCATTGGGGCGCTGTTTACAATAGCAAAGACATGGAACCGACCCAAATGCTCATAGATGGTAGACTGGACAAGAAAAATGTGGCACATATACACTATGGAATACTCTGTAGCCATAAAAAAAGATGAGTTTGTGTCCTTTGTAGGGACATGGACAAACCTGGAAACCATCATTCTCAGCAAACTGACACAGGATCAGGAAATCAAACACTGCATGTTCTCACTCATAGGCAGGTGTTGAACAATGAGTACCCATAGACACAGGGAGGGGAGCATCACACACTGGGATCTGCATGGTGGAACTAGGGGAGGGACAGCAGGGGGTGGAGAGTTGGGGAGGGATAACATGGGGAGAAATGCCAGATATAGGTGATGGGGAGGAAGTGAGCAAACCACATTGCCATGTATGTACCTATGCAACAATCTTGCATGTTTCACACATACCCCAAAACCCAAAACGCAATTAAAAAAGACATATATAAAGGCCAGTGGAGAACACTGATACCTTCTCTCTTCCCAGAGTAGTATCATAAGTTGCTGCACATAGTGTTACCATTGTGGTAACTCCGTACTTCTTAAGTTCCTCTGTAAATTTGTTTAAGGTACATTGGTTGGATTGTGTGCAATAAGGAATCTCATGTTCTTGTATGTGACTTCCACAGGAGCTGGGCAGTTCACTAGAGCCATTTTAATTTAGTTAAACACTCAACAGCATTATTAAAGTATTTTAAAAATTGAATACAGAAATGATGCAAAGAAAGTGAAGACTACTTCAATATACTCCATTTGAATAATTCAGTGCTTTGAATATGAGGTTGTAAGTAATAATAAATGAAACGGACCTCCTAACAACAAGCAGCAGCAATTCTTCAATCCAGTAATACTGAGGCAACAAAAAGGAAGGGGCATTGAGGTTTACCCCATCCTGGTCAGAACTCTTGTAAAAGGCTCTGTGTGTTTTAATTCAACACTTCTGTGTCCAGGATAACCATTGTTATGGGGGCTTCCATACAGTTCATTTGTCTGCATAGAGGTTGTGCTGTGCCTGGTAGTAATCTCCTCTGCCCTTCAGAAACTCCATAAATGTGTGACCAAGAACACCACAGAACTCAGGAATACATTTACTCATTGAAGACTGTGGCCTACTCAGACAGCTGGTCCTCACAGGACAAGATAGTTGTGGTGGTTGCTGGGCAGGGGGTGGTGTCGGCCCCAAATTCCTTCTATTAAAATCATAAGTAATAGACTTTCAAATCACTATGGAGCTAGAGAAGGTTGCATGTGCTTTTAAATATTAAAGCATATAAAACATAGCAACAGCAAAAAAAAAAAAAAAAGAAAGAAAGAAAGAAAGAAAGAAAAAAGAAAAAGGTGATGTCAGACTTCTCAAGAACAATATTAGATGATATATAATGAAACAATGGAGAAATATCTCCAGAATTTTGACTGTAATAACTTTGAACCCACAATTATAACTGGCAAGCTAAAACCAAAAGGAAATAAAAATATATCTGTAGATAGACAAAGTATAGTGTCAGTAACCATATCTGTTATTTGCAGAAAAGCATTTGAACATATGCTCTAGCAAAATGAAAAAGGAACTCTAAAAAGATGAATAATGGAAAACAGGAGCTTCCATTGAAAAAATATTCCAAGAACAAATAGACAAGCCCCTGTAGAAAGCAATCAGTAATATGTAAAACATTTATTAAGTACTATGGAAAACAATCTGGATAATATCATTGGTAGTGTGAGAAAATTTTATGCTGTCAAGTAGGAAAAGGTCAAAGTAATCAGATTTTTTTTTCAATAGCTGCACAAAACTTTTTGATCCAAATGAACCAAAACACAACTGCAACATGAGTTTTAATGCAATAAAGTGTAATATATTTAACTTAAAAATGGATGACTCTTTTTAAAATTTCAACGTTTCTGTGTGAAAGTCAGACCTTCTTTATGTTTAAGTTTTCTTCTCTATGCACTGTCCTGTTCTGTAATTAAAAAATATTTACATTAACAATTTAAATGCTCTTTGTTTTCCATTTTAGAATCAAAATATTTCAAAACACAGACATTTTAAATTTTATCGGAGTAGGAACTGTAAGTTTGATAAACCTTGTCAATGGATTTTAGTGGTCTGAGAATCTGAAGTTAGAAGTTGAAAAGGGGAGAATTTGAGAAGGTAAAGGTAGGGATATTAGCAGGTTTTTATTTTTGTTAATCTTATGAAGTCTGGGATCAAGTCTGTCTTTAGAGAAATAAGATGTAGAGATTTAAGAATATCACTTAAAATTAGAAGATAAGGGCCGGGCGCGGTGGCTCACGCCTGTAATCCCAGCACTTTGGGAGGCCAAGGTGGGTGGATCATGAGATCAAGAGATCAAGACCATCCTGGTCAACATGGTGAAACCCCGTCTCTACTAAAAATACAAAAAATTAGCTGGGCATGGTGGCGTGTGCCTGTAATCCCAGCTACTCAGGAGGTTGAGGCAGGAGAATTGCCTGAACCCAGGAGGCGGAGGTTGCAGTGAGCCAGGATGGAGCCATTGCACTCCAGCCTGGGTAACAAGAGCAAAATTTCGTCTCAAAAAAAAAAAAAAAAAAAAAAATTAGAAGATAAATATATGAAAAACTGAAAATAATTTAAGAAAAGACTTGAAAAGATACGAAGACTCTCAAGGCAAAATTTCTCATACTTCACAAGAAGTAAATATAAATGGTCTAAAGTTGATATATCAAGAAGGAAAAATAAAACTTTTTTTAAGAATTTCACTGAAAATTCTAGAAAGGCTTAAATGTTGTTAAATGAGAAGAGTGATACAGAAACCAGGTCTGAGTGATAGAAATTTTGAGTTAATTCTGTGGTGTACTGGTTTGAATTTTTTTCTTTTTTATAAATATTTTCTTGTGCTCACTTTGCCAGCACATAGACTAAAATAGGAACAATGCAGAGATTAGCATGGCCCCTGTGCAAGGATAACAAGCAAATTTGTGAAGCGTTACAAATAAAATTTTTTTTCTCGTATTGTTTCATAAAATTTTAACATATTTTATAAATAGATTTAATTCAATTTTTCTTAGGATGATTTTCTGTGGAAAATATATTATTTCTATTAAATATGCCACTTATTTTAACTCAGAGCTCTAATCTTGTTTAAAAATAATATTGACAAAAATGGCTGTAGAACATGTGAATAGTGGTATATAAATATAGGAAACTATATATAGGGATATAAAAAAGACTAGATGAGATGTATCCATAAAATCTGAACATATTCTGGGACAAACTCTTGTAATTCTTCACAATGATAATTAGGCTACTGGATTAAAAATATTTCTCTAATTATTTTGTTTTTAACCTAGCTATCATAACCAAAATAAATTTATAATGATAAGCTATAATGTTAATTGTGATATTTTACCAACATTATAAAATAAATGAAAAGAAACATGTCAAATTTGGTAATTTTTAAATTATTTGCTTAAAATTCAACATCTTTCCCAATTGCACAGATTAACAAATTAAAATTCAAGGCAGAGTCAAGAAAACCAACTGAGAACAAAATCAATTTGATAATGTCACAGGTTTCTTTACTATACTTGTAAGGCCCAGTAAG